GTGTGTGTGTGTGTGTGTGTGTGTGTGTGTGTGTGTGTGTGTGTGTGTGTGTGTGTGTATGACAACATTTGTCTAAACAGAGAGAGAGATTCATTGGTAAATCAGACTGGCCTTATTTCATAGGTGTGGTTCCAGAATCCGACGTGGGCAGGATGACCCCCCCTTGACCCCTGGCCACGACAGGAGGGTGCAAGACTCCCTGTCTTTTCTTTTTTACAGGACTCTCATTCGTTGAGAAACAAAGGAAAGAAAGAAAAAAGAAAGAAAAAAAAACAAAAACAAAGGTTCAATATTTTGTGCTATTGAAAAGTCATGTCTAAAATTTGAGCATTCTGACACAATCAGGTAAATACATGATAAACGCATGTTATCATTACACAGGTGCAGAGAAAAGCCAATAAAAATGCGAAAAATACTACTTAAGCCAGGAATTCATACACAAAATTGCACTGCAGCAACACCATAAAATCTAGTCAGCCTGCTTTATAAAAAAACAAAACATCAATAATCATACACAAATATAAATTGATTCCCTAACCGTAAGAGGATGGATTTTAATCTTACTGCTGACAGCTGCAGATTCACAGTATCATGCAGACACACTCAAACAAAGAATGCACACACAGTCAAGCAGAAAAAAATAGGAGAAAAAAATTCAAGTGTACTCTAGAAGCAATAAATATGTAAATTGTATATTTCCAAAGTATAAAGACGTGATTCTGTTCTTCAAGGTTCATGTCATGTCAATATGTAGACATGGGTGTGGTCCCCTCATAAATCAGTGTGTTTTGACCTTTATAGTGGGTTCATCAGACACACGTCAATGCATCATTCACGCCAATTTGCCTCGTCAAGATGAGTCAAATTTCATAACAGACATTCACTAGAATTGTGCTAAAAAATAAACCGCAGTGCAGTCAAAATTCGGCACATAATTCTTATTAGAAGCAGTTATTGCCCTGCTTTTAAATACACAAACACACCCCCCACTTCGTCATGAGACCACACACYGATATTTTGTGATGTGCATTACTAATAAACCATAGCAATAATTATATCAACATCTTACTTATTCATTCATCTATTTATTTATGTATTTTGTATTTATTCATTCATTTATGTATTTATTTTGTAATCAGTGTGCTGCAGACAATCAACAGAGTCCCGCTCTGAAAAGACACACAAGCACCATGTGCACAGAGCAGCTCTTCCTTTTTTCTTTTTCATCTTTTTCAACCTAGAGTCCCAGCTGGACTATTAATCACAGCCACATGACCCCCACACATACAGGGCTCTGCCTGTCTCCCAACTTCAGAGCAGGCTGAACTCTATGGAGCAACAAAAAACTATGTAAAATAACAATAAAAAAATAATGCAGTCAAGTCCCACATGAACAGCCGAGTTGCAAAAGTCCAAATCAGTCCTAACTTCAATTTTATCTAAATTTCAACCAGGCTATAAATTAAATGCATACATTTTACTCTTGAGCGAATTACAGGTAATTTCCTGTGTTCATGGAATACCACGCGCTGGCTAGGCAAAATGCATAGCATTAAATCAAAGCCCCGCAACCTCCCTGTTATGAATTCTCATCTTTCTGCATGCATCAATTTCATAAACCAAAAACCAGAATAAACAGCTGTATTCTCTCTGTAGACCCCAAATCTTCACCGGCAACTAAACCAGGGACTCGTCATACAAATGCCTGCATACACAAACCAAGAAAAGGAACAGCTGAGRTGAAGACAGTCAATAAATCACATTGTCAACATTCACCCAGAACCCTGCTGTCTTTCCTCAGAGAGAAAACCCCTACTTAATGCAGACCAAACAACGGAACGTTGCAAAAAAGAAAAGAAAAGTTCCACAAGAATTTAGAATTTACCCAGAGGTCTTCATCCGAGCAACAAACAGTCCACAAAAATCCCCGAACAGAAACTTTTGGTCAAACCCCAAAAATACCTTCATCACCCACTGAAGTGTTSCCTGTCTGGTGAAAAATGACTCACCCTTTTAGCCGGCTTGCAGAAAACGGTTCAGTGCGACGGTGGTATCTGCTGGAGTATAGGACCTCTGTCTCGTGACGCCATTAAATGAGGTGAAATAACCACGTCTTCTGGTTCAAGTGGAACTGCTGTTGCTCAATGAAGAGAGAACTCTGAAACAGGCTGGTTGAACAGCAAGAATCTTTATTTTGCAGTTCAGGAGATTACAGCCAAAAACCAAATTATGGCCTTCCATGCCAAATGATTCACCAAGTAAGAAAGATGGGGAATGAAGGCTAATGGTGGGGGCGTACAAGGCTCTTTATAGGCTTCACAAATGTACCATAAATTTTGTCACGGTATACCTTCTTACTAATATGGTAATATGTGCCGAGCTCTGAAACAGTAACTAAGAGACGTCACATCTGTGCATTCCTGAGAAGAGGCCCCCCATCCTTGGACACTACAGTTATAAAAAGGATTTTTTCAGTCACTGATTCTTTAGTTCACCTTGAATAAAATCACCTTTGTTTTGTCTGAATAGGCTGTGACCCGGGACTGTGTGGCTCCTGCCCACCTGATTGGACCCCTTATGACCAGCAATGCTACCTGTTCACAAGACACGAGACCACCTGGAATAATGCCGAGGTACAGCTTCAGTGTTTATAGACGATGTGTTGCTCTTGATTCACAGTTTAAAGGATGGTTTTGGAGGAATTTTAGCCCACTCCTCTTTCCATCGTTGCACCAGATACTGAGGCCTAAAGAGGACAGATMTGCAAAATCCACTTTAGCTGGTAAACATGTTGTTGGACTTAGAGTGTCTGTGAGCGCAGAAAAGTTGAGTTTAGTTTCCTGCTGCTGCAGAGATATCTTTAGATTTGGGTCACATTTTTCAGCTCGTTCAGTTTACTTTATTCCTGTGATGTTTTCTGAAGTATTATGTTTAATTATCTGTGAGGGAAACAAATAAGGTCTGGACTTACAGAATAATCGTGTTTGGATGGAGCACCTGAGGTGGACTTGCCGGCCTGGACGAGTGGCGGTGGGAGCTGGGACGGAGCGACTAATCTAACAAGTGAGGCATACCAGCTACTCTGTTGCCTATTTGGATCAATATCAGCCGTGTCCTGTTTTTCTGTTGAGGATCAAACTGGAGCTACTGGTTTTGGTGAGCATGCCTGTGTCCGACATGGTGGGAACCATGTTATTCAAGCCTTGAAGTGTGTGCCATTCAGCGAAGAAAAGAACAGCAAGCTATTGACTGGATTCAGAACCTCACCTGATCGGGTWKTAATTTGGGCCTATGTTACTGTTTTTCAKCAGTGGACAAAAGACATTAGTGCTAGAGGCACGGATAGAACAGACTCTGTTTTAACCAGTCAGAAACAACATTTAAGACTTCTGTTTAATATTCTTTTAGTCATTGGAAATATTGAGCTTAATCCAGGTCCAGATAAAAATGTTTTTATGTCCATTTTTTATATTTTATTGGATTTTACACACATGTTTTTAATAATTATCTTGACCTGGGTTTGTGCACAGGTGTATTTTATATAAATCCAACTCAGTTACAGCCTACACAGGGATCTATATTATATCCTGAAAAGGTTAGACAACCTCCTGTTATGTCAAGTCTGAACACTACA